TTTTTTTCTCGTTTCGATCTTTCAACGGAGGATTTCGTCGGATACCCGAGCAACGTTCCTCGACCAGCACGGCTTCCTTTTTCGTATATTATCGATACGGACTGACAAAGAGAACACGGATGATGAATGCGGGACGAGAAACGTGCGGAAACGTCCGGCTAGCGACGCTTCCCACGATTGAATTTCGTTGTTCGCGATGAATTAGGACACCTCGAGAGCATCCGCCGGCCGAACAACGGGCCAGGGATATCTGATTTTGGATTTTTGATTTTTGGTTTCTCTGTTTTTTTTTTTAAGTTGACTAATACTGGACAACAATCGATGCCAAATGTAAAAGAGCCCCAAACGAGTACTGACTTGTAACACGCACAACGCACGCACAAAACGTATAACCCAGACCGCAGGTAACTATCTAACGGAATTAATAATTGCGTATGTTTATTCCATTGGTCTTTTTTTTTTTTTTTTTGTGTGTGTTGTTGTAACATACATACTGTTTCTTTTCTTTTTTTTTTCTTTTTTTTCGTTTTCTATTTTTGCGCTCACACGACTCATCGACTCGCATCGTTCGATCGATCTCGCGCCTTCCGATTTTCTCGGTCATCCTACTTTTTTCGCCTATTTTTCACGTCTTTTTTTTTTGTTTTTTTCTCTCTTTCTCTCTCTATCTCTCTCTATCTCTCTGTCACTCTATTTTTCTCTCTTTCTCTCTCTCTCTCTTTCTCTCACTGTCACGCAATAGCCCTCGATCGCTCACCATTGTCTCACCAGCACTCCTTGCATGCAAACATATATATATATATATATTTATATATTCGCGCACATTCGTCACTATTTTTACTGGCATGACGTAGCCGATAAGCGAATGATCGATACGCGCGATTCATCGTCGCTCGATCGCGGTGCGTCCTGTCGTACGTTTCCACTTCACTTTGCACGAGGATACACATAGTGGTTCGCAAGAGTGCATCGCGCGCATTTTTAGGTTTCTTTGAGTGACTCTTAGACCTAGATTGCCTCGAGCAACTTTTCAAAAAAAAAAGTGAGAACCGCTATGTATATTTCACAAAGCACGTTTGCTCGAAACACGAAACAGTTGGATCCCGAGTCACACGGACGCCACCGCCCTCTGCGACGACGCTCGGCGAATCGTCGAAAGTTGATCTCACCGACAAAGCCTGTTGTTGTTGCTTTTCTTTCCCGTTTCTTCTCCCGCGCGAGCAACTTTCGACAATCGCTCGAGCCAACATTTCCCGCGAGCTGCAAATCGCGAGGCCGAGGGAGCTCGAGAATATCGACGAATCGAGCTCCTCCCTCGGCCTCGCGTTCCACGATACACCACTGGTGTATATATATATATATATATACCAGTCGCGTGTAGTCGCGTGTAGTCGCATTCGTGGAAACGAAAAGAAGGGGGCAGTCTCTGATAAACGGTCTCTGGTGCACGTGTCGAACGCAGGCAGCTGCCCCTGTGCCAGCGGAACGCACTGTCGTGGGGTCAGCGAGCGTCATCGGGGGAGGGTCCCACCCTCACGAGCCACCCGCCGCCCATCAGCAGCGTCCGGAGAACGCACTCGACGCTCTGTTAGACGAGCTGCAGACGTTCTCCAGGCCGAGCTCGCAGCAAGGCCACACGACCCAAGGATCCACGACGATGCTCTCCGAGCTGGGCAGGTCATCATCAGGAAGCAGAGGGGAGGCAGCTGGAGCGTCCACGGCGCTGTCGACGACCGCTCGGCCGCCGTGCATCTCGGACATAGGGAGGAAAGGGAGCGTGGATTCGTCGAGCGGCGCAACGTTGCTGCCAAACGTCGCCGGGACGCTGGTGACGCCGGCAACGGCAGCCGGCGGGCCAGGGCCGCCAAATGCCGGCGGAATGCTTCGCAGATTGCACTCTTACCCGTCTAGCTCCGACACGGACACGTCGCCGCCGATAGCGAGACTTCAGGTATCGCTGCAGGAACAACCGAGTCTGCCCACGCTGCCGCAGGGATTCGTCCCCGGGCAGAAACCACCGGTGCCAGAGAGAAACGCGGAGCTGCTCCAACTGGCCAGCGCCAGGAGAGTCCCGCCGCCTCCGCCACCGCGCACCAGCTCCAGATCTCCCTTGGCCAGCCCGACCAGCCCTCAGCTACCACCTAGAAACCATTCTTACAATTTACAGAGCGGCAACGCCACGCTGCGAAGGCCACCACCGGCGCGTGGCACTCTTCCCGTCAAAGAGGGCAAGCCACCGATGGCTCTACCCACCGAACAACAACCCGCTCCGGTGTCCAGCTCCGCCCTCGACGGCGTCGTCGTCGTCGCCGCCGCCGCCGCAGCGGCGCCCAGCCCCCCGGTGCTTCACAACAACTCGACCAGCTCTCAGTCGTCGGCCGTGCTCTCCACCAGCAATTCCAGCTCCTGCGAGAGCGTGAACTCGCAGGAGGGCCTGCAGAGCAAGAAGGGTAGGCAGGAGCAGCTGGAGCAGCGGCATCAGGAGCTGCTGCGTAAGCAAAAGGCTCTGCAGGAACAGTACGCCAGGCTGCAGCAGCTGCAGAGGAACACGGCCGGTCTCACGACCATTCCACCCGCGCCGCCGGATCTTTTGAAGAAGACGGGCTCCGAGAGCAACCTGTTGGCCAAGATGGGACTGGGACTGAGCACTGCCAGCTCCGGATCGTTGACTAGTTTAACCGTCAAGCCAGCGTCTGTCGTCCAGGAGATGTCCGTGGACGGGCCTCTTCGTGCGCGACACGAAGGGGAGTCGAACGAACAGCAGCAACAGCAGACGACGAACGCGTCGGTGAACGTCGTCTCCACGTCGAGCGTCGTCGGCACCGGTACGTCGAACACCACCATCAGCTCCAGCGAATCCAACGGTAGTCAGGCAGCGATCGCCTCAGCAACGATTTCCACCGCGGTGACGATGACGGCGGCGGCGGCGGCGGCGGCGGCAGCGGCGGCGGTGTCCAACGCCGCGAGCACGACCACCACGACCACCACTAGCAAGATCTACGAGACGGATATTCTGTGACCGAGAAGCCGTTCGTTGCTCGAGGCGAGAGTAAAAGTGGAGAGAGCCGCCGGGGTCGTGCTCGCGAGTTAACTGCCGAGTTTCACGGCAGCGAGGAAAAAGAAAATGAAAGAGGAAGGAAGGAAGGAAGGAAGGAAGGAAGGAAGGGAAAAAGAAAACTGGAGAACGAACGAGAGCGCCGATCGTCGTCGAAGGTTTAGATGGCGAGCGAGGAGATCTCGCCGGCTGGAAACAGCGTAGAGAGCAGCGTAGAGAACTTAGCGAGTCACGCGTAATTTATAATATCGATTATCATAATTAATAACGATATATAGTATTACTAATCGTAAACGAAAAGCGCTCTCCCTCCCTCTCTCTAATGTCGGAACACATAATCCGGACGCATAAAATAATCCCCGTAGAGGGAGGGGGGCGAAGCAGCGAGACTGAGAGCGATCTCCTCGCGATTCGTTTAAAAGTAAGGAAAGTTTGACGATACGAACGATCGAGTTCCTGTCTCGGACAGGATAGCAACACAGTATCGTCGAGCGCGTGTCGACCAGTGGCAGCGACGATTGTGCCAAAACGGAGAGCGAAAGCCACCACGACACGAACCACACGAACCACACGAACCACGCGACTCCGTCATCGTCATCGTCATCGTCGCTCTCTTCCCTTTTCACTCGCGTTTCCCACCTCGAGCCAAGCTCTCCGCTACAACTCGAAGCGAACAAACCCGATGATCTTTGTCGCTTATGATGATCGTCGGTGGTCGTCGAATTATCGCGCATACGTATGAATATACCTAACTATACACGTACCTACGAAAGAGGAACGACAAATTTATATACACGAAACGCCAGAGGGTAAGATGAAATTTCTACATATAAACGAGTATTTAAGCGAATAATAGAGTTAGATTGATAGAGAAGTCAGGCGAACGTAATACGCAGCTGCGTCGCGTCGGATATTCCAGCGAACGAACGATTATTCCTGTCTAATAACGGTAACGGCCGGCTAACGGTACGAACTCGTGCAAAGTGCTAACGAAGCTGTATCTCTCCGTATATTTACCTGTAAGTCACGGTGTGTGAAAGATTCTTCGTATGTTTCTAAGTAGCTTTCGTCGGAAATAATAATAAAAAAAAAAAAAAGGAAAAAAAAAAAGAAAAGAAAAAAAGATGTAACCTCGGTGGGAAACGCGAGGGTGGAGAACGACATCCTTATCTCTCGTGTCGTTGGACGCGTCACGATCTCAACGGGTTTTTGTTTCCACTACTTGTCTTGGGACAAGAGTTCCGGTATGTTGGAATCAAATTCTTCGACAAATGGAAATCCCTAGCGGAGAAGATTGATTTTTCGACGGACAGTGGCAAGATTGAAAGGAACATTGCTCAATATTTACCGATCGAAAAATGCAGCGAGTGTTGCTTGCGTGGCGTTTTCGAAACCGCTCGCCGATTCGTTTCGACAGTTCGAAGTGAAATCTCAACAAGTGAGATCGGTCTGTAAATTATTATTCGACGATGTACCACGCAATCGAATCGATCGATTCGAGTTCGATTCGACTCTGCGAATTTGCCGTTTCTCTAATCGATCGAGCGCAACTAATCGTCGAGCTCCAGTTGGAGTCGAGATGTTGTTGGAACGATTCGCCGCGCTGTTTCGCGCCAAACGTTCATTCCTAATTCGATTAGCCAATTAAATTGATTCACACACGTCGGTTCGTTGATAGAGCATATCGCAGTTATCACGCGCGAATTTTACATTTCTGTCAGCTTTCGAGAGACCATGTCCGTGTGATCTCTCGGTAAACGTGTCTGCGTTGAAGGGAACACGCAGGAAGCGCGAGAAAGGAAAATGTATGCGAATGTAGAGAATGACGACGAGATACGTAACACGTATTAGGTAATAAAGTTGCCAGCGTAGAGTACACGCTGCTTTTGTTATCGGGATCGTAGAGAGATGTCGGGTCAGCGATGAGCTAAAGAAACGGGGTAACAACCGTGCTTCCCAATGCTCGACGAAAATTAGAGAGACACGCAACACAAACATACACACTACTCATACACACGCGCGCGCGCGCGCGCGCGCGCGCATTTATATAGCCGAAATGCGCATACTTTGCTTCGAGAGGCCTAATAGCCGATAGGTTCGATTCCGTGCTTCTTCCTTTCCGTTTTATTTTCCGTTTCAACTCTCTCGACTTACTGCTTGCCGCGGGTCTTTTTCCTTTCTTTCGTCGTCGTTCTTCGATAGTCGATTAGTAAAAAAATTTCGTCTACTATCGCCGATCGTAATCGTGGCTCTCTTATTTATTTTCTACGTACACCATGAAAACGCATCTATATGGAAGTAATAATTAATATACATGTAACGATAAGAAGTAATATGAGTAAGAATATGGATAATAACGATCGATCACACAGTATTCAGTTGCGAGTGTTTATCAAAGCATTAAACGATCAAGACAGTACACGATCCCAACGAACAAGCACTTCTCGTTCGACCTTCAAAGTCGGGCCTGTATATTGTTCCATTCACACGACAAGTAGGTACTTACATGCAATCTCCAGTCGCATAATTTGCATTTGTACAAAGCTGCTTTCTCTCAACGCGCACCTCTTTGTTTCGTATCGATTCGAATATCCTCCTCCTGGCCCCCTTCCCTTCCCTCTCCCTCCCTTGCGCTCTTCACCCGTTTCCTCCCCCCGAGTTCGTTTACTCTCACGGAAATATATACGTTTCCTACTTTGCATGACCAAATCGCATCCTCTCATCCTTCGAAAACCAGCTCACGGTCCATGGTCTGTCGTTCATGGATCGAGTCATCCCCAATCGAGGCAATAATTTCTCCCTCGAGAGGCGTGGAATCTCGACCGCGAGACCCGAATCGATTCAGTTACTTCCAGAACGTTAGCCAATAATTGATATGTAATGTTTTCCGACGATCCTGTACGCCAAATCGAATTGACTTGTTACATTTGTAAATGTTTGTAAGTAACTATCACGTAATAAAATAATCGATTAATAATCATCGAAATTCCGATTGTTTGACTCTCTGACGAAAGTCATCATTTATTCGTAAATGGAAATTTGTATTTTGTACAAAATAATGAGTGACAGGGACTAACCTAATCCTAGGGCCTAGCGAGTTACAACGGTCGTTCACGTTTCCGATTTTTCGTTCTGATCGTCGATCAATCCGTGTGCTTTCATTATACCCCTCTCTATCCTCTGTTTCTCTCTGTACATTTTCTCGTACTTCAATAGAACGCCAGACAACATGTGTCGATCTGACGAATCCAGTTCAACGTAAAGCTTGACCAACTGCAACTCGTTTCTTATCTTTCCTTGGCCCGATTTCGCATCAGGGTGAAGCTTGTGATAAAGTCGCACCAACTGTCCTGCCTCCTCTATGTTTTCACTTTCCATCAGTTCCATCAACAAGGTGTCGATGTTATTCTCCCAAGCAAGCTGAAACACCAACGGACCAAAATGCCTCGTAGATCGCAACCCATCAAATTTCCTTAATTTATTCACGTAAGAATACACTTCTTTCGTAACCCTGTGATACTCTGGGTCGTCCGGTTCAAACTGCAGGCACGCTCTATCCAGGATGAACTCAAACTCTCCCTGATCCAATAGATCCTACAAATATTTCGTTGCAATTCTATACGTTATCTTTTATTTATTTCAACAAGTTTTAACATATAAAAGTGTGTTTCATGTGAAAAAAAAGAAAAAAGAGGAGCACAGGCAAAGGCATTTCTTACTTTCAAGTACGGATTGAAGAACATTTGCGGCGTGTGCATCTCTCTACCAGTTATAGGAAAGTATATTTGATTCATCCTGTGCCTCTCGCTAGAATTTGCGTGTCTCAACGTACCATTGGTCTCTCGAACCACGATTATTCTGTTCCGATTGCTTTTCCCAAAAGATATATCTGTAAACACAAGATTGGATCTTCCGCACCCTTGCAGTTCAGGCTCTTTGACCAGTACTTTTGGTTCTTTCGGTCTTATTTTCACAACGGGTGGCATCTGAATACGCCTGTTGGCTTTCTTTCCTATTTCTTCTCGCGCCTTCGCCAATTCCTCGTCCGTCATAAATTTGAACTCTGGAATTTTCAATCGGGTTTCATCCCTGCGTGTCGCAAAAACCTTTTCGTAATCGATGCGAGTCAAAGTCTTCAATAATTTCTGCACGTGTTGGTCGAAGAAGAAGGATCTAGGGTCCCTCTCATCCGCTGTAAATTATTAAATTTGTTGGAAAAAGGAGAGATGCAACCGCACAGAGTTGAAAACATAACCTACACCCGACCGGGAAGATTCCATTCCATGAACGAGGGAACGAACGAGAATTCAGCTGTACTTACTCGCTCGCGGAGCTGTTGAACACAAACGGCAATTCCAGGTCGGTCGTCTATAGAAATCCTTTAAAAGGAAATTTATTCGCCGATACATGGTTCTGGCAAAGTGGATTGACCTAACCTCAATTCTAGCAGACATCAGACATATTTACTTCGCACGTGCGATATGCAGTAATGATTTCGAGAGGTACCAATCTCCATTAGACTCGAGATCGCCCATCTATTGTACGTATTGGTCAATGGAAAACGAATGTTTCGTGTTTCCCGCCATTTCTTCTCTCAACCAACGTTGTGCGACGTTTCGTCTTTATATACGACACATTTTTTGAAAAGAAAAGAAAGGAAAATGGAATATACGTTGCAAGATGCCTTTGAAACCTTGAAGGAGTCGCAGATGGAACGACAGAAGGAGATAGAGGACTTGACGAACGTAATTCCGAACAATTTCAGACAGGTTGCTCTACAGAAAACGTGCAACTCGGAGAACGTGAAAAACAAACAACACAAATTGTGCAAAAGCTTATTGAACCAGGTTCTTTTGGAAGAACCAAAGGATTATCCTGTTCCTAAAACGTCTGACTTGCACGCCGAGGTCTTGACAGATCTCGAGAAAGAAGTTCAAAATGCTTATCAACTCTTCGAGCGTACAAAGACACAGCTTTCAGACATCAAGGACGATATTTCTTAGTTCGTGATAAAAATAAATCGTTTTGTAACGATTATTTTAATTGAAAATTACGTTGTATGTAATTATTTCAGTTTAGAGAACAAAAAATTGGGCCTGGACAAGATGAAAGAAGCCTACTTAGGTGCACAGGAGTTGACAGCGGACACAACCTACAACATGGAATATGCTACGGCGAAACGCATATTTCGAAGTGTAAAGGAAGATTTGGTATGACGAAAAGATATGAACTTTTTTAACACTTTGTATGTACGATTGTTAGCATTATAATCGTATGAAAACGCTTAGCATGCAGTAGTGGAAGAACTGTTCCCAGAAAATGACAATTTCAGAAACTTTCTGGCAGTAAGTGTAAAATATTTGAAGTTGCACAGAAATTTCTCTGTTATTCAGGAGCGAATATATAAATTAACACGAATTTTCAGGTCTTGATATCGTCGCATTCAAAGGGCGGCAACGATCTATATGTGGATGTTACTCCAGAGATTCTACACTTTGTAAATTTCTTGATTGAAGCTGATATTGCTGTCTATCACAGAAATGATAAGACTAAAGTTAAACTAATGGATATGTTATAGGTACAATTATAATATGCATAACTTGAATCTCATATTTTTAAAATAAAGTTTTCTTTCTTTTAATTGCTCGGTTCAAATGCTTGGAAACAGAGAAAATATAATATTGTGATAATGGATCATTGTATATGATACATAGTTGTAGAAAATGCTCAATTCGCAACTTAAGTTTAACATTCCATATTGAAACTTTTGAAAAACGCTTCGTTCAAGCAGCGTTCACCACATAAACGGTGCTCTTTCCCTCAATACTCTGACTCCCACACGTTCCCATTCTTGCCGACCAATCCATAATTCTTGAGCAGATTCCAAACAACTTAGAATCGCTGCACCTTTCCATGCTGTCATACCAGGATCCATTTCTTTTGGTTGTGTTATAATATCCAATTGTTCTACACACATAAATAGAATTCAGTATCTTTCTCACTTGGTTCAAGTTAAAATCTGACGTACAAAGTACCTATACGTACCAGCCCTGTACATGTAGGGAATTTGAAGAGAAATCCGATTGTGCAGCCACATGCCTATACCTTGGAATTTCATACCTGAGCCAACAACCAGTACACAACTGTACATTTTCCTTTTTAGATCTTCCGTAGCTATGGAAAATGAACGAAAGTCATTGAAATTTGTGACATGTTTTAGTCATAGTACGTACCGCATACATACCACAACGATCGATACTCTGAAGCACAGCATGATCAAGCCCTAGTAATTGCTGGGGACCCACTATAAAATCACGCGGAGCATCCAGATCGCGATTCGATAACGTTGGCGCCGAGTCTACAGCATCGACGACCACTTCTTCCTCCCCTGCTACAGTCGGTGCAGATGCCTCTTCTTGCATTTCCGATGTTTGCTCAAGATTTTCTTTCATACCTCTTCTCTAAACAGTCAGCAACAAAACTAACGTTCATGTTAGAAAAATGAGCACAAAATCTAGGTAAATCTACGTACACTCGTCTCTCGCAAGTAATTTTCATCGTGCGGGTCCTCTGGATCTCCCGTTGACCTCTTTTGTATATGTACATTATGCGTTCCAGTGACTTTGAACAATTCAGGTTGGAACAAACTTAAAGGAGCGACCAAACACTCGTCGCCAACTTGAAGAGTGTATTTCTCGGTTTGCTGCTTTGGCTTTCGAACTATAAACGTCTTTTCTTGAGAGCCGCATACGTTCAAGTCAACGTGACAAAAATCTTTTTTCAATTGACTCAAGAGCAACGCGTCCAGTTTATTGGATGGGTCGCATGTTTTGTAAGGGAAAGCGCATTTCTGCAGCAGCCAGAAGAACGTTTGCGTGATATCTCCCCCACCGTAATCCATTCGCACTCTGGTATTTCTATGAGAGATTCCATCTTCTACGCAAGAAACCGACGTCTTTTGATCTCCAACGTCGACCACGCACGCGTATCCCAACCCCGCGCCAAACGTAGCCGCCACATGATCCTTTGAAACGCAGTGAAACATTAATACATCGGTACAGAGTACTTTAAACATTTTTCGAATGTATCTGAACTACCAACTTGTAGCAGGAAACATGCTCCAAATCCGATGTCACAGAGCATCAGGGTTGTTAATTCTTTTAAATATTGCCTGTTGTAAATATCTGGAATTATAAGCACAGCACGATAATGTTTCAAATCTCTCAAAGGAATGTCCATCTTTTCTGTGAGAACGTATTCCCAAATTGTTTTCAAATCTGCCATTACGGATCTCAGACTGCCACCAGGTCCGGAATGAACATTGAGCTCTCCTCTCCTATACGGAAAATGGACGTTAAAATTATCTTCTGGATTCAACGATAGTATGTCATCGCCGACTACAACATCTTTGTCTGTTTTTATCCATTCGACACTGCACGGAGATGATATTTCTGGATTTGATCTACGGTTAAAGGCAGCTATCTGTTGAGGTGGTGTGGCGTATCGTCGTCTTCCATCGGATTGAAGACAGGATTGCAAAGTGTGAGATACTTGCAGGCGAGATTCTTCCATCGCTTGTGTCAACTCTTTCGTCTACTAAAAGCAATTGAAAGGGAGACAACTTTATGAAAGTATCATTCGCAGAAGCAACTTACTCGTGGCACAGCCGGTGGTAACAAACTATCCTTATATTCCAATCCACCGGGTAAACGTTTTCTAGCAACGGCGTTCAACATCGTACAAGGATTTAAATCGGACGCCCGTCCCATCCTAAGGTACATGGATCCAGGATGTATTATAATGATCGTCTGAGCTTGAATTTGCTAAAACACATTGGAAGCATTGTAAATGATTGTGGAAACAGCTTGTCGTATATTTTTTTAGGGAAATTTACCTCTGCGCAAGATTCTTGAAAAACCGGCATAATTGATTACAAATTTTATGGTACCAAAATATGCTTGGAGGTTATGTATACGCTTTGTCGTTCGAATTCCTGATTTCTGAATAAACCAGGCATTAAGCACAATTTCATTAATTTTAATTTCATTTATTCATCCCGTGGAACTGACAGGATAAATTTTTCATGTCTGAAAATACTTATTTCTCCATAGCAATGTCAGTTCGAAGCATTGGAAGCGCTTCATGTTATGGGCACATAATTCGCACAAGTAATAGGAAAAAGTATAATTAAATTTGATTATCCTGACTTTTATTTCAATTGGTTTTACTAATAATCATCATTTATGATTAAAGAGTTATATTTCATCAAATAATTGCATTTCGATCATGCAATTTAAGTTAATCAAGAAAGAAAAGCAATTACTTTGGTTATTATTGATTTTATTGTAACAATCCATAATAATCGATCGAAATGGGGATTTCCATGCAAAACTGTGCGTCAAACTTTCATTTGCACATCGTAAACTATGTTTACGATTAATTACAAACTTTTACAACTTGCCAGAAATCGAATATCAGGCCAGCAAGTGATTCGATTTATTGATTAGAATTTACAAATTTTCACATATACATTTTGTAAATTCGGCAGAACGCAGGAACAAAGCGGACGTCTAACTTCAAGAATGCATGTATTCATTCATAAGATTTCATAAATTAAGCCCTTTAATTAATTCTTTTTAGAATTGAAAAATTGGTCGATTTATGAGCATGTAGTGATTATGATAATTTATATTTATATCACAATACTACAAATAAATAAAAACTCCGTAATTAATTTTAGTTGTTTATATAAAAATATTATCAATATCACAAAATATACAATTACTAATAATTTAATGAAGATTACATAATAGAAGTTAAATGACGAATAATTTCTATGAATAAAAGTTAAAGTAACGAATGAAGAATTTCTACTATGGCTACAATATATATAAGTGTCAGTAAACATTTCCATGGTGATAAAAAAATTAATAGCTATTTTCAAATATTCTATTGTTTATATTAAATACACATCTCGACTGAACATAGATGTCGTTGATCTTCGAAGTAGAGGTCGCTACAGGCATCAAAATCCTAGCTCCGCGTAGCGGTGAAATGGTGGAACTAATCGCTATTTCTGTCCTTGTTGCACACCTTGCTCTTCTTGTCAACAAACGGAACGGGTGCTGCCATCTATCGGCTTTGTTTAGAATCAAACATCGATAAAAATGTCGTGCTGCCATCTATTGGATTTTTCCAGTTTGCCCTTTTAGTTCCAATGAAAAATAGAGTGGCTCAGATGGCGCCACCATCCGTAGACAAGGAGCGCAACACTGTGGGACAAGGACAGAGATAGCGATTAGTTCCGCCGTTTCACCGCTACGCGGCGCTAGCGTTTCAGTGTCCATGCATTGGCCAAAGGCTGTAATTATCGAATGGTAATATATCCTTGCGTTACTTTTACTAAGTAAACTGTTGTTGATGCAAAATTAATTAATGTCAAACAATAAAATAATATTTTCCTTAATCCTGAGGAACGTCTCGTTTAGAAAGCTTGCCAAATATAAAGTTGACTCACACTCTTCAGAGGAAGAAAGAAAACTAACTTCGGGAAAATTAACAAACAGGGAAAAAGAGACACAAAAAGAGACTGTTGCAGGAACAAACAACGCGCAAGAGTCAGTCTTCGATTAACGTGTTTATTTTACCAACATGAAAATACAGACGGAATAGAAAACAAAAAAAAAAGGGGGGGGGG